AAAGCCTGCCACCAGATCGGTCTATGGCCGCCCAGGACTGGTTTCCAGCGTGGCAGATTCCCCGCTGATGTCTGCACGTGGTGCCAAGAGGGCCATTGTTTCAGGGTCTCGTCCTGCCGAGACCGTCCAGCCAGAGTCTCATCCCGCAGAGACCGTCCCGCCAGAGACCGCCGAGCAAGAGACTGAGCTTCACGTCACTTCTGCCGATCCAGAGACTGAGCTTCACGTCACTTCTGCCGATCCAGAGACTGAGCTTCACGTCATTTCTGCCGATCCAGAGACTGAGCTTCACGTCACTTCTGCCGATCCAGAGACTGAGCTTCACGTCACTTCTGCCGATCCAGAGACTGAGCTTCACGTCACTTCTGCCGATCCAGAGACTGAGCTTCACGTCACTTCTGCCGATCCAGAGACTGAGCTTCACGTCACTTCTGCCGATCCAGAGACTGAGCTTCACGTCACTTCTGCCGATCCAGCGACTGAGCTTCACATCACTTCTGCCAATCTTGATCCTGATCCTGAGCCTGATCCTGATCCTGTGTCTTCAGACAAGATGGCCGACTCCACGCCTGTGTCTTCGGACAAGATGGCCGACTCCACGCCAGTGTCTACGGACAAGATGGCCGCCTCCGAGCCAGTGTCTACGGACAAGATGGCCGCCTCCGAGCCAGTGTCTACGGACAAGATGACCGCCTCCGAGCCAGTGTCTACGGACAAGATGGCCGTCGTCACAGAGTCTGTTCCTGTTCCTGAGCCAGAGCCAGAGTCTGTTCCAGTTCCTGAGCCGGTGTCTGTTCCTCAGCCGGTGCCTGTTCCTGCGCCGTGGCCGCCCGAGGGGTCTTCACCGCCGTGGCCGCCCGAGGGGTCTTCACCGCCGTGGTCGCCCGAGGGGTCTTCACCGCCGTGGCCGCCCGAGGGGTCTTCACCGCCGTGGCCGCCCGAGGGGTCTTCACCGCCGTGGCCGCCCAAAGGGTCTTCACCGCCCGAAGGGTCTTCACCGCTGTGGCCGCCCGAAGGGTCTTCACCGCCTGGGCCGCCCGATGGACTGTCTGCTCCGCCCTGGCCGCCCGATGGACTGTCTGCTCCGCCCTGGTCGCCTGCACAGCCTGCTCTGCCCTGGTCGCCTGCACAGCCTGCTCCGCCCTGGTCGCCTGCACAGCCTGCTCCGCCCTGGTCGCCTGCACAGCCTGCTCCGCCCTGGTCGCCTGCACAGCCTGCTCCGCCCTGGTCGCCTGCACAGCCTGCTCCGCCCTGGTCGCCTGCACAGCCTGCTCCGCCCTGGTCGCCTGCACTGCCTGCTCCGCCCTGGTCTCCAGTCTTGCCGCAGTCTCCAGGTCCTCTTCCGCTCCATGGGCCTGGCCCTCCATCCCGCCCCCAGGTCCGCCTCCGCTCCACCTCCCTCCTGGACAATTTGAGGAGCGTCTGGAATCCGCTCCTTAAAGGGGGGGCTATGTAACGGTTACCAGCTGGAGTGCCCTTGAGAGCCACCAGAGGGGACTCCACATCAGACTCTCACGTTCACTCACAGACTACATTTCCCATAACTCACTGCCCGGACTCATCACTGATCACAATCACCTGTACCTCATTCTCTGATTGCATTCACCTGTGTGTCATCATCCTGTTAGTCTCAGTCCATATATACCATGCTCATTCATTCACTCACCGCGAAGTCTTGTTTTGCTGCTGCGAACATTTCCAAGCGTTTTCCCATGTATATTCCTGCCTGTTTTGACCTTGTCTGTTCCTGATCTTCTGCCTGGTTCCTGTATCCTTCCTGTTTGCTGCCTGCCCTGATATCCTGCCTGTTTACTGACCACGATTTTGCCTGATCTTCTCTGCTGTGTTTGCTGGTGTTTGACCCTTGCCTGGTGACTACTCTGTTAAATAAAGGACAAGCTGCACTTGGATCTGAACGTCTCCTATGCTTCGTAACAAGAACAGTTGATTTAGTATTTCATATTAATGACACATTAAAAAATATATGAATGTTTTATGAGGAATGATATCAAAAGTCATGTATACATTTGGCAAAAGTTTCCCCAAAAGGGGGGTAATTTTACACTTGATAATTACTAAATTAGCAAATGTTTCTATTTATTTCCATATTTCCACATTGTCTGATGCATCAACATTCTGTAAATGGAAAACTTGTATCTAAATATGTTACAATAACTAAGTAAATGCACACTGTACTTAAGTGGGGAATCTTTCCCTACTAGTAAAAAATCTGCACAAAAAACTCTTATAAACTTGGAATACTCTTACTTCTCTCTGTTGTTCTCGTCGTTCTGGTCGCTGCTGATGGCCAAACCTCATCCTGCCATTGCTGTACACATGCACATTACCTAGAAACATAAACAGAAATGGCACAATGACACATTTGTGGATTTTGAATGTATTCCACCACAACCACTAACATGTTGCATTTCTAATACGACATTTCAAAAGTCACATGACTCACTGGTTGGAAATCCACCTCCAAAGAACATATTGAAAAGGTCCTCGGGAGAAATATCTGCCTCGAAATTTCTATGATTTGTCCTATGCCTGTGAGTTGGGTGGGCTTTTTCTTCACCGTAGACATCATACTGCCTTCTTTTTTCAGGGTTACTGAGAACTGCGTAAGCATTACCTATAGCTGTTGAAGACCAGGAAACAGAACGAATGAGAAGACCACATGCAAACTTTCTCCATACTGAGAAGAAACGCTGAATGCATGAGTTTAATGTATTATACCTTTAAATGCTTCAGTGGCACCGGGTGCATGGTTTTTATCTGGATGAAACTTTAGAGCCAACTTTCGGTAGGCTTTTTTCAGATCCTCCTCAGAGGCTTCTTTACTGACTCCAAGAGTCTCATAATAGTCCTTACACCTCTTAATTCTGCACCAACGGAAAGACAGATCACAGTATAATAGGAAGAACGTAGTTAGGTAATGAAACCACTATGCACACATATAAATCAAATCACCACAGCCTCGTCTTTTAAGCAAGTAGTCTGAAACAAATAACAGACCTTTTGACAGCATCCAGCTGCTCTGATGTGTAAGGTTTGGCAGATTCTGTGGCACCATGTCCAGAGGAGTGATCTTCAGCGTTCTGGCTTCTGTTTCGTAAACCATCATGTTCTCCGAAGTTTTGTTCACTTGTAGAAGGTCCTCCATTCTCAGCAATAGACTCTAGTAAAGCTGAGACAAGAGCACTTACATTTTAACAAGCAGCACTGGTGTCTGTTTGTCTGTCTGTCTGTGTAAATATCTATCTATCAGTGAAAATATTCATATTGAATTTCAATTTACCTTATATTATGTTAGATTACATTACCTACATATGTAAATAGTAGCCTATATTGACATCCAACAGAAGTGATATAGAACCAAGAGCACAAAATATATGGTTCGTGTTTTTCTAACATACAGTTTGATCATTTAAAAGTAGAAAATGCGGTTATTCCGCAGTTATAAGAGATCGAGATCTCCGGGCCTTAATTACCGTCTAACTACAGGCTTCAGGTTTTCTGGTGGCCCTTTAACAGACCTCCTACGATCTCCACTATACACTTATTTACAGTACACGCACATCTCGCCTTGTCCGTGGGAAACAGTCTCTGTGCCTTCTCGAGGAACCGTCTGGATTTGTCGAGCTCATTATCTCGCAGCGCTGCGATCGCTATTTCGATGCAGCGTTCCGCTTCGTCCTTGTTTGATTCCATTGCGACGGCGGAACTGATGACTGATCTCTTTCCTGAACCAAAAGACGCAGTTTGATGACGTTTGCAACAGAGTCAAGAGTTTTTCACTGGTGGATAGAACGTCCACTCTGTAAGCTAAGGTTTCCCATTATTGTAAAATTACTTAAACCTATAAATAATGACGATGATGATAATAATAATAATAAATTACTTAAAAAAGTTACAATATAAACTGCTATAAAAGACTCACTTCTTAAATCGTTTATTTAGCCTATTTAACTAAAAATTATAAATAATACTAAATTAGGCGTGTGATAAAATAACAACTTTTACAATATAAACTTCTATCTATCTATCTATCTATCTATCTATCTATCTATCTATCTATCTATCTATCTATCTATCTATCTATCTATCTATCTATCTATCTATCTATCAACTTACAACAAAAACATCTGCTATAAAAGGCTCACTTCTCTTAAATCTTTTCTTTATTTAACTAATAACAATAATACATTTGGCAGATTCCTGAAGAAATATCAGAAAGGTTTGGTGATATTATTGGTAACGTTTACCGGTAAACTACTTTCCTCTACTTATCCGTGTTTTACATTATATTTGATTTATTTGTTCATTTATTAATTTGTTTTTTTATTTAATATATTTTAAAATCACATTAATTTATAAATCTTTTACTTCATTCATTCTTTGGCTTATTCTGCTTATCTGAATGTGTTTGTTCTCCTAAGAAAGTTTGTACAATGTAATTTTTTGTTCCTTAATAATAATAATAATAATAATGAATATGATTAATATTATAATAATAATAATCCACTCTTGCATGTATAAATGAAACTATGTGGTAGCTACTTTGCTTTTCTACAGATTGACAGAACTGTAGGCCTACATTTGTATTTACAAAGCAAACAATGATACATTTTACAATGCAAAATAAAGTAGTTCTTGATCCTTTTATTCTTTAATTTCTTTTTCTTTTTGTTTTATTGTTTTTATTTATTTATTCACCTTTTACGGTGTAGGTTGTCACGATGGGAACCTGTAATTATATCTACATATTATAGTAGACTTTTAAGATAATACAAATAAAATAAAATAAAATAAATAGTTAAAAGTAGTACTGCTCAACCTAAGGCTGAACAATTGCTGTTATATTCAGAGATTTGATAATGTACCTTGTTTGTTTGTGTTGTTGAAGCATAATAATAAAATACAAATAATAATTTAAAAAAAAGTTAAAAGTAGTAGGCCTACTTCCGGTAACCGACTTTTGCGGTCTTAAAGCAGAGTGGGCGCACTAGTAAAGAAAGTAGCGTCATTAGAGCGCCGTATCAAAATGTTGTCAAGTTGGCACATGGAAAAAAGGTAGAAGAAACAATATTTGTTTTAGCGGTCTGTTTACACGTTTAAATAGCGAGGCGGAATATATATAGACTACAGCACTGTTTGAGCGTGTGAACCCACGGGCTCACTGACACTGATAGGCTAGAAGTCTGCACCAATGTCGCGTGCATATGAAACAATGCGCTTACATTTAACCTGGCCATTGTTGAAAAAAATCGTCACTGTACCAAAAATATGTTTCGGTTATTTAATAACTAGCCGCTGTGGTGTCAATACTTGCTGTAAGCCTGTAAAGAGAAGAAATGAAAGGAACCCAAAACTACCAGCTGACTGGCACACTCTTTCTTGGGAAGAAAGACTGGCTGACACTGTGACTCCTTTGTGGAGAATGAATTATGAGAAGCAGCTCCAGTGGAAACAAGAGCAGCAGCACAAAATCTTGCTTGAGATGACAAAGCAACTAGCTCTGGATTCAATGCTCCCTTTTTCAAACGACTTAAGATTCCCTCTCCTATCCATAGTACCCTCACCAGTGAGAGATGGATACCGCAATAAATCAACCTTCTCTGTCAACAAAGGGGAAGATGGGAATCCAAAAACTGTTGGATTTTATATAGGCAATGGAAGAACGGGTAACATAGTATGTGTCCATGGTGACCATCTCCTGAACATGCCTTCAAAACACAGCATGGTTGCAAGGTACTATGAAGATTTTATACGACGTTCACCACTCCGACCATGCATTTTGTTTCATGATGGTGGCCACTGGAGAGAAATCATGATAAGAACCAATTCTGCCGGTCACACCATGGCCATTGTCTACTTCCATCCTCAAAACCTAAGGCCTGAGGATATTGGCATCCATAAAGCTGCTCTGGTGGAGTACTTCACACAAGGTCCCGGAGCAGTTTGTCAGCTGGATTCTCTTTATTTCCAGGAGAGCACAATGACCCGTTGCAGTAATGAACAATCCCCCTATCAGCTTCTGCACGGACAGCCCCATATCTTTGAGGAGGTGCTCGGCTTCAAGTTCCGCATTTCTGCTGATTCTTTCTTCCAGGTGAATCGGGGAGCAGCGGAAGCTTTGTACAAAACTGTTGCGGAGCTGAATCGGGCTTCTGTTGGGGGCACACTGCTGGATGTATGCTGTGGTACTGGAGCCATTGGCATTTCGTTATCCCCACAGATGGAGAGAGTCATTGGCATAGAGCTCATTGAGCAGGCGGTCGAGGACGCCAAGTATAATGCAGCAATAAACAGAGTTCATAACTGTCAATTTCTCTCAGGCAAAGCAGAAGTTGTTCTGCCAAATATGATGCCCACTTTGAATTCTGATGGCGGACTGACAGCTGTTGTGAATCCGTCCCGGGCTGGCCTACATTATCGAGTTGTCAGAGCTTTGAGGAACCACCCAGCCATAAGAAGGCTTGTCTATATATCATGCAAACCTGATGGGGAGGCAATGAGGAACTTTAGAGAGCTCTGCTCTGGTTATAAGAGAAAAATCACTGGTGAAGCCTTCAAACCAACTGTGGCTGTCCCTGTGGACCTGTTTCCACACACTACTCACTGTGAACTAGTGCTTGTTTTTGAGCGATAGTGATTGTTTCAAAAAAAAAAAAGTGGCTGCTTTTCCAGTGAATGTCTGTTTATATGCCATTAAATGTCTATAGAAAATGTTCAATGCAGTTACTCTTAATTACAATTATGATATATTGTGGCATCATGAGAGGGCGTGTACTAGAGGGCAGATACATTGCTCTAAGATGGCTCGTCTTGTTAAGAACTAACACTCCCAGGTCACCACACGTGGAAGCTGGGAAGCAAGATGGCTGCCTATTAAGGACTACAAAACCCAGGCTGCCAGAGATAGCAGTAGCAGCTGCAGCTAATAAGACCGGCAGCAGGGTCTAATAGAAGGTGTGAGAGAATGCTGTAGGTGTGTGTGGTTGGGAAAAGACAAGTATGTGTGAAACAAAGAAGATTAAGTTATTTTGTTGTGAGCTGAAGTGCTTTGAGTTGAAAACCTTCGGTTTGAATATTAAACCCACACCTGCATACTGAAGAGACTGTTAAAGCGGTGTTTACTGGGAAATTGCACAAGCTGAAGATCCTGAACCTCTCATGCTGTCACAATATATATAGGTCTATATGTATATATATATATATATATATATATATATATATATATACACACACATTATATATGTTATAATGGAATAAAACCATAAAAGTTTTAGTTAACTAAAAAGGTTTGTTACTTGAAATAAAATAAACTGTAAAATTAATTAAAATATGACTTCAGCTCAGCATTTCTCATTTTTGTTTTGTTTAACCTGATGTAAAACAACTAAAACTGGAATCAAAATTGTAGACATATTAAAAAAACTAATAAAAACGACAAAAACAAATTTACTAAAACTTTAAAAAATAAAAAATAAATCAATATATTAATAGGAACTATAATAGTATCTCAGTGATACTAGCGCACATATAAAATACTAGCAGGCCCCTTGCATTGTCACTAGGGGGTACTATTGCGTCATCCCTCTTGTGTAGTGCTACATGAATATGTAAATGTAAAGACAAGCCTGTGTATTTATATACTCACAGGATTTTTGAAGTCTGATGGTAAGTATTAGTTGTGACAATTGGACACATTCCTTAAGCATTAACAGAAAGTTCACATTTGAAAATATCTACAGTGCACCACAGAATAAACATATAGCCTAGTAGCACAAATATGTGCTGTATAGCCATTTCCACATGCCATGCTCTTTCACTTTTAGTTTGGACATGGAGTATGGCACAATGACGTGTGACTGAGAAGGGGTGATGATTTGGATGAAGCATGCTTACAACGAAATCACTTACTGAACTAGGGAAAATAAAAGTGCACTGATCGAGAAAACATTATGTAAAGTTGGTTTTTGACCAGATTGGCTTAGCTATAAGGCTAAGCCGTTTTGTGCAGTAGCCTATGTCACAGTTAATATGAGTGCAAAATTCAATCCCATTCAATTACAGTAATGTGTTCAGCAGTAGGCTACATTTTGAAATTAGAGATGAGATCTGGTTATGGGAAATTATAGTAGCCCCTTTCCCACTGCCTAATTGAAGAACTATAGAGTTGTTGTTGTCATTTTAGCACATAAAGATCAATAGTTCCTCTCTTGACGAAACCTCATTGTTTCAGCAGCTCTTCTTTAGAGGGACGACATGTTGGAAAATAGAGGTTGGAAAATGGCTTATGTTTACCAGTAGGGCTGAACTAGCAACAAAATAATCTCTATTTAAATATAAATATTAATGTTTGCATTTAAATCACATTTACATACAAACCTATTTGTATTTTAGTGTTGTAAGGCTTTCTGTACTCCAAAAAAGCAGTTCCAATTTTCAACCATTTTGGGTTCCCCAGCAGAGAACCTTTCAGTGAACAGATCTTAAAAGAACTGAAACTTTTTCCAAAATAAAGAACATTTTGTGCAATGAAAAAGTTCCATGGATGTTAAAGTTCTTCATGGAACCACCAATGGCAATACAGTGTACAGTCACCACATTTAAGCTACCGATAGGCTATGCAGAAAGTATTACATTGAAACAGTGCCAAATTTACAGTAGCCCATGTGCATACATAGCAATTCTAACTCAACAGATGCCCATAACATATCAATTGTTATGTCTCTAATAAAAACATTGTTTTGGCAAGAAAAACCCATATTGATTTAGGAAATAGCCTATCTTTGTGCTTAGAAATGCAAAGACTTTCCTAATTTACTCATGGGCATTAAAAGGCACAAGCTTTGTTGTGACCTGATGATCTGTATCACACAGTGAGATTAAACAGCTGAGGTGTTGGCTATCAAAAAACCAGCGTTCATGGGGTCCACATCATGAACATCAGATAACCGAGCAACCAATGAAACTGGTAGGGCTGGATGGCATCCCTTCAGCCTCGCCCAATTGCATCATTTTAAACGAAATCAGAGGCTTAGACACGCAAAAAAATCATTCACTCGACGGGAGAACCTGCTCGCATCAATCAAATTGCGATATTTTTTTTTACAGTTGCATCGGAAACAAGGTAAGCGTGTAGCAGTTGCGTGAATGCCCGTTTATTTCATCGCGTGCCTTTTTTTGTGACAGAAGTCACACCCATTTTGCGCAGAATTTAATATGTATTCATTGTATGAATGGTTTAAGGGATTTGTCTTTTAATATAATAGTAAGTTAATTAAAATGGTAGATGGCTCTTCTTTGCGTACGGTCGTGAAAATATAATCGACCCGTTCTCTTTACAGGAGACTCCAACGAGCATGAAAGCAATGGCCGAAACGACGACGACGACAGAGGATGTTTATGATGATGCTTATGAGGAGAAACAGGGCCCGAAATCTCCAGCACAAATCGTATGGAGAAACGTTTTATTAATGACTCTATTGCACATAGGAGCTCTTTATGGATTGACGCTTCTTCCATCTGTCTCTTTCTTAACACTCATATGGAGTGAGTATGTTGCTCTTATTCTGATTCTGTAATTGAACTGACTGGTTTGTAATAATAGCAACCTGTTCCTGTGTTTATTACATTTTTATTTTATGGCCTAATGGTAATGTATAGATGACGTAAAAGGCCTATCTGTAACTTTGTGTTTTCATGTATCAGGCTTATAATATTCCTATCTTTGTTTGCTAAAAAAATCTAACATTTATCACTAAATTCTTTAAACTAATGCAATGTTAGTGCTATTGTTACAACCTACAGCCTACCGGGCCAGGGTAATCTGTAATACAAGCAAATATGGATATTTAAAATTGTGTGCCTTAATTTATTGTGATAATCAAATGTAGCCTACTAATATAAGTAGGCTGCTTGTAAATATTTACAATGCCATCACCATCCCCATCCCCACATAACCCTCATTTAAACATATAATACAGATTGAATTCAAAACTGTTAATAAAATCAGGAAAAAACCTAGAAATAAACTATATTAAGACAAATATGATGATAATAATAAAGAAGTAATGTTACTTTCACAATTATGTTCAGTATTTTGCGCTATATGTTTACAGTAGAAGTGCTTTGGAAATTGATATATTAGTGTGGATTTTATGTCGAATCAAACATGAAAATCTGTTGATTTGGATGATCTCAGTTCTGTCATTTAACATCCATTATCATGATTACAAAACAAATGATAAATCAGACATGTAATCTTACTTTCTTAGCTCAGAATAGTCCTGTAAATCTTTTATATTTTTATACATCCTCACAATGTCTGCTGTCACCTCACAGGAGGCTGGTGGTCATGTGTGATAGTTTTTAACCCCTATAGCTCATGCATAACGGGTTAAACGGAAAAACACTCCCTGGTTCCCCCTTCTTTTTGTGCCAAGCAGGTGAATTTATTCTGTTACAGATTTAAGGTGTGATTACTATTCTTAGATATTATCATTAATGTGTCATATTTTATCCAAAAGTGAAAGTCAGGCCACCATTTCTTAGCTAAATTTGTTATGTAGAACAATGTTAAAAACATTGTAAGTGTGCGTGAGTGATAGCGAGACAGTCCCGTGAGTAACTTGAAATCCAACCAAAATCTGAACTGGGCTGCACTGTTGTGTAGATTTTTGGCATCACGGCAACGCATAATATTGCACCCTGACGAACAAAGAACAATTGCTGTTGAAATAGGCTCTCCATTGTAAATTGAGCGGGGTCATAACAGTGTGGCCTTCTTCACTGTCTGTGGCGTGTTATCCCACATCCTTTGCAGCCTGGTCTGACAACACACAGCGAGACATTCTGTCCTCTCATAGAACGAATCAAGGGCACACATCGTTACACACTATAAAATATGTGTGTAGTTCAGGCTAATGTGTTTTTAAAAATTCTTTTCTGTTTTCTCTCTTAATGTGACAGCGGGAGTGTGTTTCATGGTAAGTGCTCTTGGAATAACCGCCGGCGCCCATCGCCTTTGGAGCCACAGGTCCTACAAAGCCTCATTGCCATTACGAATCTTCCTAGCGGTTGCAAACTCTATGGCTTTTCAGGTAAAACATTTTTAAGTGAATGAAACCATATTCCACATTAAATTATGCAATGTGAATGCAGCTCAGATGGAGGTGGTAGGGCGTAGTGGTTAAAGATCTGGGCTAGTAGGTTCAAACCCCACAAGAGCCGAACGATCACCATTGTGCCCTTTGAGCAAAGCAATTAACCCCAGGAGTCAGGACGTTCACCTGAGATTGTCCCTGTAAAATGTGGACTGTAAGTCACTTTGGATAAAAGTACTTGCTGGATAGGTTTTTTTTTTTGTTTTTTTTGCAGCTTTCATTCACTTGTACTCCACTGATGTATACTTATATCCTTTTAGAATGATGTCTATGAGTGGGCCAGAGATCATCGTGCCCACCACAAGTTTTCTGAGACTGATGCGGACCCACACAATGCCCGCAGAGGATTCTTCTTTTCTCACATCGGTTGGTTGTTGGTCCGCAAACACCCAAAAGTTATTGAGAAAGGACGTAAGCTGGAGCTCACTGACCTTAAAGCAGATTGGGTTGTAATGTTTCAGAGAAGGTCAGTAAGAAAATGTGACACTTCCGATTCAGTTTTATAAATCTTATCACCTAAGCTAAAGCTCAAAAGTTTGGGGTCAGTAAACATTTTTTTAAGAAATTGGTATTTTTAGTCAGGTAGGACGCATTAAATTGATCAAAATCGACAGTAAAGACCTTTAGAATTAGACCAAGGTTTATATATTAAATAAATGCTGTTCTATTGAACTTTCTATTCATTAAAGTATTCTAAAAAAAAAAAAAGTATAATGACAAGAAATCAGCATATTAGAATGATTTCTGAAGCATCATGTGACACTGAAGACTGGAGTAATTCAGCTTTACTATCACAGGAATAAATTATATTTTAAAATATAACACAATAGAAACAAATGTAATAACATTTCTCAATTACTATTTTAATGTATTTTTTATCCAATAAATGCAGAGAAACTATGGCTGCGTCCCAATTCGCCTACTTATACTACGCCCTAAAAGTATGTACTCTTTTTGTGAAGAAAAAGTACATACTTTTGAGTGTGTAGCAAAGGAGTAGGCAAGCTTTGGGACATACTACTTCGTCATCTTTAACGGACAGCTCTGTCGTGTGCATCCTGTCACCGTAAACTGCCCTGTCAATCATCTCGTCACAGTTAAAATCCTCCATTCAATCTAATATAATTTCTTACCATTTCGGAGAGAAATGTTGTAGCACGTTCATCTGACAGTCGTGGGTCTTTCATGCGGAGACTCTCCTCATGTGTTTGCAATTTGAATGTAATGATGCATTTAAAAGTTAATGGCTATAAACGTATCTTTACAAAAGTTCACAATGCTGCTGCAGATGCAATATAATAATAATGTAGACAACATTGAATAAATACATTTTCAATACATAGATACTGATAATTAATCACTTAAACCCCTTTATCTAAACCTCTCTATACAACCGCTGGACTCGTGCGTCCTCCATGTCTGTAGTTGTTTAACACTTTTCACTCGTGTTTGTAGTTCTAACCGAATCCTCGTCCAACGCACGATGGGTTGTGGGCAATATCAGCTGTTAGAGTGTGCATCGATCTGCACTTCGGATCCTGACCGGATATAGTAGACCATCCGGGTCTCTTTGGAATACTCAATTCAACATACTACGATTTGGGACATACTAATTCTATTTTCGAATACTATTTAGAACGGATAGTATGCGAATTGGGACGCAGCATGTGTCTTATTAACGACCTCAAACTTTTGAACAGTGGAGTACATACACTACTTTTGTATTGATATAATTATCACTGAAAAAAATTACAAATACATTCTTCATAAAACGTTTTCCTCTTTATAATAATATAATTGAATGATGCTTTATTTTAGCTTTTAAAAATCTTCTGTTTTGATTTATATATTTCGATAAACTCAAAACTGGTTCAATTGATGAACACTAAGGGCCAGATTTACTAAACAAGGCAAATTGCAAATCCAAAAATTCCTCTGTCCATCCCTTTTCATCCTAAATTTTTCACTGCGTGTCTTAGTAAATCCTGACAGTAGATTTTTAACATCAAAAGATGGTTTGTGCTGGTGCAAGCTGTTTGTAAATCTGGCCTTAATTCTGATACAATAGCGCTGAATAATTTAATCAGTATTTACTGGGTGAAAACCTGTAAATGTACGAGACTGGCCAAACTTTGATCAAGGTTTTCTCAGTTCTTATGAGCTGAAAAAAGTTTTTGTTATTTAAAATATTCACTACACCTCTGTGACCCCGTCATTAGGAGTGCCCATCTTAACCAGGCCACATATTTGGCACTAGCTAGTGTGGAATAATCAATATCCCTTTCCATCACTTTGAATGACGTCCAACAGAAAAAGTGCTGAGCTTTTTGATAAGGGTTTAAGAATGTGTCTTGCCAGATCAGATAATGGAAGAACAACTGGTTAGTCAGCATTTCAAACTGCGTGTTGCGGTCTAGCTGAGGTTTAACAGCTTTTGTTAATTCAGAAAATCTGTTACATACAGTAGAAGAATGGCAATCGGAATGTTTGTTTTGAATATCTTACATTTCTCTGTCCCTAGGCACTACAAGTTATCTGTGATGGTGATGTGCTTTCTCTTCCCCATGCTTGTACCGTGGTACTTTTGGGAAGAGAGTCTTTTGACCAGTTACTTTGTCCCTTGTCTGTTGAGATACACTGTGGTCCTTAATGCGACCTGGCTGGTCAACAGTGCAGCTCACATGTGGGGAATGAGGCCCTATGACAACAGCATCAATCCCAGAGAGAACAAGTTTGTTGCCTTCAGTGCCATTGGTAAGAACAATGTCTTTTCTTTTCCAGCTTAATTTTCATTCAATCATTCATTCATAATTTATTAATTAATAACTTTTTTAAACTCTTCTTGTTTGCACATTTACTTAATAATATATATGTAAAAATATGGAAGCAGTTAAGTTGCTTTATGTTTTTTTAATAAAATATATGAATATAGGCCGTGAGACAGAGGGTTGATTGGTACCATTTTGAGGGATTAAATCGCATGGTGATTTTTGTGTAGGTATATGACCCTGTATTTGAAAAATGTGTGATAGCATTAGATTCAAGGTAGTTTTTGGTTACGAAGGACGATTTTCAAAAAATATGTCAAGAAAAAGGATAAATGAATTTATCTTTAAATAAAAAAATAAAAAATGTATAATAAAAAAATTATAAAAAATTATAATACATTTTTAAAATTATAAAAGGATACATTTTTCTCTCTTGTAGTCACTGAACACCTTACCTTGAGGTAGGATGATATAAGTGTTGATTTCTAATGAAAGCTACCATGGATCGGATGCTATCACACATTTTCCAACACTAGAGATGTGTACCTTCATGAAAATCAAAAAGAAATTTAATCCCTCAAAATGGTACCGGTAGCCCAAATTTGGGGTCCCGTCTCATGGCCTAATAGTATATATTAAGTAATAGGAATATTATTAAAGCTATACAGACACATTCAATCACACAAAAAAGTACAGGATATTGTATTTGAATGCACAAGTAAACCAAACAGCAACAGTATGTACCATTCAAAAGTTGGTGGTCAGTAATATTTGTATTTAAGAAGTATTTTCTGCTCACCAAGGCTGCTTTTATTTAATCAAAATGAACTGTAATATTGTGAAATATTATTGCTATTTAAAATAACTGTTTTCTATTTGAATGTATTTTAAAATGTAATGTATTCCTGTGACGGCAAAGCTGATTTTTCAGCAGCCATTACTCTAGTCTTCAGTGTCACATGATCAGTGTTGGGGAAAGTTGTTTTTAAAAGTATTGCGTTACTCCCTGGAAAGGTAACTAATTGCGTGACTTTTTATGGTAAGATACTTTTTGTGTTACTTTTTCTCACCTAGGCTGGGCTTGCTTGTATTGTTTTTTAATAACAAAAAAAGTGATTTTTTTTGGCAAATGTAAAGGTCCTTTCACACCAAAAGTGAGCCTCAGCCTCAGACTGAAGGAAATGCAAATTCACCCCTGTACAGTAGAGGTCAAGTAAATGGCAAAACAAATGAACTCGCGTTACTTATCTGAAAAAAGAATCTCAGATATGTTGTTGTAAATTTAAAAGTAATACGTTACTTTACTCGTTACCTTAAAAAGTAATCTGATTATGTAACTCAAGTTACTTGTAATGTGTTACCCCCAACACTGCGCATGATCCTTTAGAAATCATTCTAATATGCTGATTTGGTGCTCAAAACCATTTCTTATTATTATCTATGTTAAAAACAGTTTCTGTTTAATTTTTTTGTGGAAACCGTGATAGATTTTTTTCAGGATTACTGATGAATAGAAAAAACAGCATTTATTTGAAAGAAACTTTAAATAAACTTTTAAATATGCATTTTAATTTCAGGTGAAGGATTTCACAACTATCATCACACATTCCCCCATGATTATGCTACAAGTGAGTTTGGCAGTCGGCTGAACCTGACCAAAGCGTTTATCGATCTTATGTGCTTCTTTGGGCTGGCCAAGGATTGCAAGAGGGTAACTCATGAGACCATCATAGCCCGCGTTCAACGCACCGGTGATGGCAGCCACAAAAGTGGTTGATTTGATCATTGCATATCAAAAACAAACAAACAAAACAAACAAAAAAAAAGGTTATAAGCCAACATATACAAAAGCATTTCTTAGTGTGCAGTGAAGATTGATCTGTATACACTCTCATATGAAATAAGAAGCTCTAGAGTGTGTTGGACTAATATGTGTTCTTAAGAATTCTTTCCTTTTCATGACTGTGGGGGATAATTATTGGAGATGGTAAAGGCCATAGATTGGGAGGATCATAATTATGTCTCAGTCTGCCTCAAGAGGCAAGAGATGGTACTTCACTAGTTAAACAGCCATGTGCCTCATTACAGCCCCTCTCATGAATAGGTTTCTCTGGCTTAGCAGTTATGGTTCTGATAAAAAAAAAAAAAAATCATTCCAGAGAGCTATGCAAGCTGTAAAATTAAGTTAAGCTATTAATATATTGGCACTACATTTTCTTAGGTGATACACCTAACAGTGTGCACAACTTATCATCAGTGATAAGTTCTGTTTCGAATAGTTTTGTTAGTACTGACAGTATGCCTATACATGTAAATACATCTTACTGTCATTATTGATCATATTTATTCTCATTATTATTATTAATATTTAAATAAATTATTCTACATGCCAATGCAAATGTCTTCAGATCAGTGGTGGTTACAATGAGGAAAATTTCCTCAAGTGAAATGAGCAATTCATCAGAAATTTGTATTTCATTTTTCATATTGCATAGCTCTCTATCTGGTTTCCATGGCCTCTTTTGGTCCTGTAAAAGAGTACCTGGCAAATGTGGTGACCAGGAATATGGTGACCTCTTTTCTAATTAAATACATTGAAGCACCAAATGACTATTTCAAGTATTGTGGAAAATATTTAACCAGAAAATATTTTGAAAGAAATGTATCTGTTGAGGTAAATGTATTAAGGTGCATTAATTCTAGCAGATTTATTATTACAGGACTTTTATTTGTCCTTATTATATAATCCAAGGATTGGAATATTTAATTGTCTTCATCAGATAGTATCTTGCCCTTTGCCTTATAGAATAGGGAGATTTTGGGTTAGACTCAGAATTGAAAATGCAAAAATGATGTATCGCATCAGAAGAATTGTTATAAACTAATGAAGTTTTAAATCAGATGTATCATTCGGGGTGGGCTCTTTTCTTGGCTCTTCTGTGATGAATGAATGACAACCATAAATATTGCTTCTCATAAATGTTTGATAGGTTGTTAGATTTCTCCAAATATAAGAAAAATATTCTCACCAAATGCTATATTTAAAACATTCACCCATGTTTAGGAAGAAGACACAAATTGACTATATTTTACAGCTCAATTATTTGTACAGTGACCTTTGATGTCTGGGAGCCTTAATGGGCACATTTTCAAGGAATGTTTTCATGTACCATAAACCAAAATTTCTATAAGTGGGAGAGTTTTACGAGTTGTTCCGTGAGTTTTGTTATGAATCAATATTAATCTTTTCTTAATTGAATAAAATGTGTGTATGTCTGAAAATGTTGTCTCAACGAACCTTCTTTTGGAACCCCGACCATATTTTATATTCATAAATCTTTGTGATAAATGGATGTATTTTGTAAGACAAAAAAAATGTAATACAGCTTATTCATTGCGATTCATCCAATGAATGAAACGTTCACCCGTGTGCGAAAATGTCTCTGTATCGCTGCATGAGCTTCCTGAATCAAATGTTTAAACATAAAATAATGATTTTCTATGGACCCCTAAATTAAAAGAAAATAGTTAACCTATTGAAATTTAAATATGAAAACTGTTACTAAACCTGTTGGTAGGCTACTGTAGTTTTATTTATATTTCATCTATGGGGAAAAAAGTAAAAACTTGCGAGCACATGCTAAAATCACTAAATAAATATGCATAAGATTTTAAGTAAAACGTCATTGCAACATCCATTTACAATCATGAATAGGCCAGATATATTTTGTTTATCATTTTCATTGATAAGATGAATCTACTCGCATTCAAATAGACCAAACAGTGGATTTAGAATATAGTGGCAAATTCGCTTTACTTCATATGAAAGCCTTTCAAAGCCTAATCCAAAAACATCCCTCTGGAATCTCCCAAATAACTTTCCTAATCCTAATTTGCACAAGAGAAGATACGCGGACGTCAAAGAAGCTGAACCTAAAGGTCATGAAGCGTCAACTAAGGACTAAACTGAGAGAAAAGGTAAAATAACAATTTTATGAAGTCCTCCTGAAAAACGCAAACACAATTATCCTCCTTATCTATGTTAATTCCAGCTGTTTATCTTTTAATTCAACTCCTCGCGCGCATGGATACATTTAGCATTGTGCCGTTTTATATATATATATATATATATATATATATATATATATATATATATATATATATATATATATATATATATAGCATGTGTGTGTGTGTGTGTGTGTGTATATATATATATATACACACACACTTTTAACACAGTCAGGCTAAACAAAAAAAGTTAGCCCCTGTCCTGCGCATTTATTTTTTAAACTATTTTACTGAAATTTAATTTATCAGCCTTTCTGTGCATTTAACCGGATTTCAGCGAATCTAACAACTCTATTCATACGTTTGAATTTAACTTGCCTATAAATTCCTGCGAACGCTACAAATAACATTGTCGTTTGATCCAGTAGATAATGTCAGTAATCCCTGAGCGTTATCAACCACAGGCCTACTGTATCAGCTCCTTTCATGCTGCTCTTGAAATTGAGTTTTAAGGCACAACCTTAGAGATGCCATCCTGATTTCATATTAATTCACTCCAACTGTTAGCACACAGGGAGCTCTTCCCAGCTATTTGTCCTGGAGGAGCCCAGGGTGCCCTTTTGATCATTTCAATCTCTCTCTGGTACAATAGTTCTGATTGGCTGAACGAGTAAGAAAAGGGAAAATCTTTAATTAAGTAGATAATCTCTTGTTGGGATGAGAGGAGCTCCATTTCAGAACCCCCTTGGCTCACACATGAGACCCCCAGCCTCTGAATTCTGGATGTAGGTTATATAGAGCTCTTGCAGACCCCTCTGCTTTCCAAGGTGAAGATAAATCTGCCAGTCCTCTCTCTCAGGATGTTCATGCATTTGGAGTTTTATTATTACGCTTTCATCCTGATGGCTCACATGAAGTCTTGCTGCAGTTGGTGAGTTCCGCGTTTAATTTTATTTTAGGCTGGCGATTGATTAATTAATTGATTTTATCGAACGTTTACATGCTGTGCTAATCTCTGGATTAAAAAAAAATCGGGGTGAAACAGAGACTTCAACTGATCGGTTTTCTGTTATGTTCCGTGATAAAGAAGCTTTGAGCCTCGTTTCATTGATTAGCATGCATGAGGAGAAGCTATGTTCTTCTTTTTTTAACTTTGGCTACATTGTGATGTTATATAATATATATATGACACACAATTTCCATTTGAAAATGTTACTTTTAATATCAGTATGCCTATTTGTAATTAGATAAACTTATTTTAAAATGTTTAAACATGATGTTTTATCAATTTGAAGTGTTACTTGTAATTTCAAAGGGAACATATGAAAGTTTTGGGTCATCTGACTTAATAGGCTGCTCTATCTTCCAGGTCAGTGAATAATTTCCTGATGACTGGTCCAAAGGTAAGCCAACATCTTTTGATCTGCTTTGCTGATCTTTACCAGGAGAGAGAAACTTCAAAATGTCCAAATCATTTATGGATGTGGGTAGTTAATGTTTGACGGTGACCCCGTGATCACAATGCAAGCAAGTGGCAAATTAAAAATATTCGCACACCACCATGTGCTGTATTTCTTGAACATGTATCTTTGTGGATTAGGTATTACTTGCTGCTTGGGGTGGACTGGACCATATAGCTTTCACACACTTCAGCTCATTCACAATGTGAAGTTGTGAGGACTTTTTACTGAGTGGCAAGGGAAGGGGGCCCAAGGGGCCTTTGGTGGGTGGTCATCATTAGCAACCCAGCCGCCCGTGAGAGCACTTGTGGTGCTGTCTCTTCTAAACCACTTGAGACATATTAGATTGTATGAACCACAGTTTCACAGTCACATAGACCCTTTTTGTTTACTTTTTGTGTGCATTTCTGATCAATCTCTGAGTTTGGATCATTGTGGAATTACAAGAAGAAGAAAAAACAATTACATTAAAAACACACACACACACACACACACACACACACACACACACACACACACACACACACACACACACACACACACACACACACACACACACACACACACACACACACACACACACACACACACACACACACAAACAAACAATTACCCTACTCTAATGTGTCGTTTTGGTGCTCTTTTTTTATAATAAAAAAAAAAGAATATCCAGCAAACATATATTTCAGACCACTGTGAAAAATATTTACATTCATACATTAACATATTTAAACCTTTAATATATTTATTATTATAGACAGTGAGGCCATTTTTGTGCTTTTTTACATTTTTAGGTAACACTTAACTATAAATACTAATTTGTTAACATTAAGTAATGCATTAATTAACTTACTATGATGCATATATATTTTACTGCATTTATTATTTGTTAATGTTGGTTAATAAAATAACAATTGTTCATTGTTTGTTCATGTTATTTCACGGTGCATTAACTAATGTTACCAGATACAACTTTTGATTTTAATGATACATTAGTAAATGTTAACATTAACTAAGATTAATAAATGCTGTAGAAGAACTGTTTACCGTTAGTTCATGTTAAAAAATTAAGTTAACTTATGTAAACAAATGAAACCTTATTGTAAAATGTTATCTAAAAAATAAAAAAGCATGAAAATGACTCCATTATATCTATAATAATAATTTTACGAATTATATTAAAATTTTAAATGAATTAAATATTAAATGTAAATATTTCACTATTGTTCCACAGCAACTTTTAAATATAATAATTTAATAAATTAACATACAGGTGCATTTATATATGAATTGTGCATGCTGAGAATAAAAAAAAAGCATCATTTGTTTTAGTGAGTTTTTTTTTTGTAACCACTTCATAGTGAGTGTGTATTTCATCCCAAATCTTTTTGTGTGGTTTGCATTGTTTCAGGCCTACTTGATCTACTCCAGCAGTGTGGCCGCAGGAGCTCAAAGTGGGATTGAAGAGTGCAAGTATCAGTTTGCGTGGGACCGCTGGAACTGCCCGGAGAGGGCTCTTCAGCTCTCCACCCACAGTGGACTCAGAAGCGGTGAGAACTATGACCTCTGTTGATGATCGTTTTATGTATATTGTGCTGTCAGACCTTTAAAAATGCATACATTTTAATAGAATAAAAGTGCAAGTGTGTGTTATGTATACTGTGTGTTTAGTGACTCAAAGCCCATCTGTATCAATCACAGAAACAGCTCTTAAAACAAACACATTGATCCTGTTTAAACCACAGAGAAGCGTCTCCCAATGTTGATGTGCCTGAAAACACTGCATTCTTGAGTCAATTAAACCCGGTCTGTTAATAGGCAAGTAGAAAAGCCACCAAGGGGATATTGTGC